TTGTGACTCTGGTCATTTCTCTTTATCTTGTAATTATTTTTTTAGTTTTAGGTATAGTGGGGGAAGGATTAGACCCTCTGTCAGGTTTAGTGCTTATGTTAAAGAGAGGTTTCCTGCATCAGATGTGCGCTTAAAGCGTATGTGAAATGCAGGTCGGCAGATTGTTACTTACTTTAATGGCACAGCGTTAATGGCCAATCTGTGGCTGTGTTTGACCAGCTTTGCTTTTTCAGAGAAGAATTTAATACGGTGCTTGTTAAACAACACAGACAACAGAGGTTATATATAACCCACACCCAGACTCTATAAATTGTCCTTGCACAAGTATTATGGCTGCGCTTTTATCACCACCACATATATCAACCAGCCGCCTTGCTCACTTCCAAAGCTGGACTGTCAAAGGCTACCAGGAGGCATATCTACAGGTATGTTTGACTAACAGAAATGTTGCTTCAGCTTTTCCAGTGACCAAGGTGGCTGATGGAGATATGTGGTGGTAATTAAAAGTGTGACTGTGATCAGGGCCAGATCTAGCTTATCTGATCTGGGGGTGCAGTAAATAAAGTCAAGGGGCAGAATGTCAACACGGTGTGTGAGTCACTGATAGTCTGTCACATTGTCATATCCTGGGAAACACTAGTATGGATATGGCTATCGTTAGAGTAGGATGATTAAACAGAACCTGTGCCCCCTTATATCGAGGCCCCCATCAGAGTGCCCTTCTTACATCAGGAGTCCACATCAGAGTCTCCCTTTATATCAGGTTCCCATCAGTTTGCCCCTTTACAGCAGATGCCCTATCAGAGTGTCTCTTTACACCAGGTGTCCCCATCAGAGTGTCCCCTTATATCAGATATCACCATCAGAGTGTCCCCTTACATCATGGTCCCCATTAGAGTGCCCCCTTACATCAGGTGTCCCCATCAGAGGGCTCCTTACATCAGGTGTCCCCATTAGAGTACCCCCTTACATCAGGTGTTCCCATCAGAGTGTCCCCTTGCATCAGGGTCCCTGTCAGAGTGCCCCTTTACATCATGTGTCCCCATCAGAGTGTCTCCTTACATCAGGGTCCCCATCAGAGTCCCCCTAACGTATGATCAGTTATCCCCATCAGGTGTCTCCATCAGAGTGTTCCCTTACATATGACCAGTTACCCTCATCAGAGTGCCCCCTTAAATCAGGTGTCCCCATCAGAACGCCCCCTTGCATGGATTGTTCCCATCAGAGTCCCCCTTACATCATGTGTCTCCTTACATCAGGGTCCCCATCAGAGTCCCCCTTATGTATGATCAGTTATCCCCATCAGAGTGCTGCCTTACATCAGGTGTCTCCATCAGAGTGTCCCCTTACATATGACCAGTTAGCCCCTTCAGAGTGCCCACTCCCTTAAATCAGGTGTCCCAATCAGAGTGCCCCCTTACATGGATTGTCCCATCAGAATGCCCCCTTACATGGATTGTCCCTATTAGAGTTCCTCCCTACATCAACTGTCTGCATCAAACTGGCCCATGCACTCTCAGGAACCTGGGGGGCACAGTTAAGACCTGGAGAGGCATCTTCACCTTCACCTGCACAAATTAAAATAACATTATCTATTTCAATACCTGGCACTTTCACCCCCTTATTGCCCAGACCAATCTTCAGCTTTCAGTGCTGTCACGCTTTGAATGACAATTGCACAGCTGTGCAACACTGTACCCAAATTTAATTTTTATCTTTTTTTTCAGACAGATATAGCTTTCTTTTGGTGGTTTTTACATTTTTACTACACAAATGAAAAAAATATTTTTCTTCATTTCTGTTATACAGTTTTGCAAATAAATTTTCTTCTTCACTGATGTACGTTGATGAGTCTGCTCTGATGGGCACTGATGAGGCTGCACTGAAGGACACTGATGAAGCTGCACTGACGAGGTGGAAATGATGGGCACTAATGGGGCACTTATGAGGCTGCACTGATGGGCACTGATGAGGAGGCACTGATGAAGCTGCATTCATAAGGTGGCACTGATGGGCACTGATAAGTGGCACTAATGGGCACTGATATACGGCACCTGATGGGCACTGATATGCTGCACTGATGGACACTGATGGGGCTGCACTGATAGTCAGGGCTCTGATTCAGTGTAAATGTCCCCTGTCACCAAAAAGCAAGTTATCGCTTTCCTTTCCTCATACAGTGAGAGCGCTGAGGAAAGGAAATACCGTTAACCAGCATTTGTTTACATCCGATCAGCTTTGATTGGACACAGCTGATCATATGGTAAAGAGCCAACGTCATTGGCTCTTTACCCTAATCAGTGATGTGCTGTGTCTGAGGGACACAGCTCACCACCGATCGCCACACGCTTCAGGGAGCGCACATGCGCAGCAAGAATGGGAGGATGTCATATTATGTCCTCCCAGAACAAGAGTGGTCCAGTTAAAAGAAGAGGTTTGGGGTATATAAGAAAACAAATTTTCATTCTCAGCTCTATGCTGTAGCATTGGTGTGATGCTGCAGCTGTCCCACTTTGGTTCTAAGACCAAGAACCGAGTAATTGCATGACCGCTGATCACTCAGTTCTTGAACCGCTCTCAGAAGAGACAGACGACTGATAGCCACTGCTCTCTGTTCCTTCAGTGCTCACTGGAGTTCTAGGATGGAGAAGGGGTAGGCGCAGCTGGCTTCAGCTCTCAGCCATGCACTGAGAACCGGAGCCACCTGTCAATCAGGTAGCTGGTTAAATCCTGACAATATGGTCTGGATCCTTCTAGGGACTGGAGCAGCTCTGCCACGTCAGCTGATAATAGTCCTCTGTTAGATGACCCTGGGTTACAGGAGAGCAAAAAGTGCACTCCTGTGACCCTTACTAGAAGTATGGCCAGAAAAGCTTTGGCCATACTTCTCTTTTAATGGTGACTAACTATACACTTATAGGGAATGATAGGTATATATTAGGGAACCAGGAAATGGCCACTGTTACCGTAAAGCAATATTATGTTGCTTTACAGGACCGCCCCTTCTAATGAAAAGTGTAAAATCAGTAGGGAAGAGATTTGGGTTTGCCACTACCATATGCTTGTGATGAATTCCTGGGATTCACATTTTTAATGAAAATATTGCAAGTTTGTAGCAGGAATAAGGCACAACTGATAATGCAATGCATAGCCTTCACCTCAGGTCAGTTGAGTCACAAGAGCTAATAATTTGAAATTATGGATAACCCAGCCACTTTTCTGTAAAGCGGTTTGCTCACAGCAGCTGCCATATTGTCGTGTGTCTCAGAGGTGTTTTGTATTTATTTGTTATTTTGGCATCTGTTCATGTCCCCCATGGTAGTACCCAGATTCCGATGACTTTTGTTTAACCGCTTATTACCCCTACAGATGGCCAAAACTTGAAAAACTTTCAGCAAGATTTGCAGAATTCTGAACTGATGATTGGCAGAGACACTTGTCCCCTAAACTTTAGCTATCTGTCCTGTATGCTAAGTTGTTATTATTATGGGTATAATGTGTCATGGTGCCATCATTTGGCACACAATGGAAGCACCAATGTGTGGAAATGCTGAATTGGGCCACTACCTACAGGGTCATATGAAGTCTTTCTAGTTGTAGAAATATGTCCTTCCATTTCACACTACTGCCTATGGGGGGATAGCTTAATCCCAGTCATAGGTTATGCTTATTGAAAATAATTTTGCCTTAGTGTGTGTTTTTTGGGCCACCTGTGTAATCTTCAAGAAAATGCACTGCAACCTATAATCATAAAAATGGAGTCCCCAGTACTGTTCAGTAACAGTATCATTGCATAAACATTGTTATTATTATTATTATACAGGATTTATATAGAGCCAACAGTTTGCACAGCGCTTTACAAAATGAAGGTAGACATTACAGTTACATTACAATTTGGTACAAGAGGAAACAGAGGGCCCTGCTCGTTAGAATTTACAATCTAAGAAGATAGTTCCTTTTTTTTTTATTTAGATACCAGATTGGCTGGTATGTATTGTATTCCAGCACTATTTTATCATAGTCTAGTTCTAAAAACCAGGATAATCACTTAAATGTGACAATGATGAATTTGGATTAACATACTGTATCAATATCAGTCTGAACAAATTCAATATAAATTACATTTTTTGCATGTAATATACATCAGACATTGAGACTGACAGACAAACAGACATGGAAAACGAATTTATTTACATTATATACAGCAGGTTAAAAGCAAGCTTATTTGTCTTTTGGCACTTGACCTCTGTCATCTGCAGAATATATAATTATTTCATACTTAGATATGCTTTAAGTGTTGGAATTCTAATGATATATTAATGAAACCCATTACCATTATTATGAATTAAATATTTTACACTTAAGATCTTAACATAATTGCATTTTAACCAAATTACTATTTTCAAGTGTCAGCCTTAAGGGCATTTGATGATGGCATTAGATAATTTCAAGAGTATGTGTTGGTAAGCCCTTGAATCTGAATGAACAAGCTTGGAGATATTTAAAATTCTAGTTTTAACCACTGGCCTATAGGGCACTTATACCCCCTTCCTGCCCAGGCCAATTTCCAGCTTTCAGCGCTGTTGCACTTTGAATGACAATTGCGCGGTCATGCAACACTGTACCCATATGAAATTTTTATAATTGTTTTGTGACAGATAGAGCTTTATTTTGATGGTATTTAATCACCTCTGTTTTTTTTTTTATTTTTTCTTAAACAAACCAAAAACCACTAAAAATAGTGGAAAAAAAATGTTTTTTCTTAGTTTTTTGTTATAACATTTTGTAAATAAGTGATTTTTCTCCTTCACTGATATGCGCTAATGAGGCTGCACTGATGGGCATGATAGGCTGCACTGATGGACACTGATAGGTGGCACTAATGGGCACTGATGAGGAGGCACTGGTAGGTGGCACTAATGGACATTGACAGGCATCATTGATGGGGACTGATACATGGCACTGATATATGGCACTGATAGGCGGCACTGACTGGCACTAAAAGGCGGCACTGACTGGCACTGATAGGCGGCACTGACTGACACTGATAGGCAGCACTGACTGGCACTGTTAGGTGGCACTGACAGGCACTGATAGGCGGCACTGATGCGCACTGATAGGCAGCACTGACTGGCACTGATAGGTGGCACTGATTGGCATTGATAGGTGACACTGACTGGCACTGATGGGTGACACTGAAAGGCAGCTCAGATGGGCACTGATATGTGGCATTGATGTGCACTGGTAGGCACTGATATGTGGTACTGATGTGGCACTGATGGGCACTGGCACTGATGAGCACTGACATAAGGCACTGATGGACACTGACAGGTGGCACTGCTGGGGCTACACTGATCATTAGGGCACACTGATCATCAGTGCCCTGATGATCTGTGTACATGTTCCTACCGTGGAAAGCCGATTACCGGCTCTCCTCCCCTCTCGAGCTGTCAGCGTGACAGCTCGAGAGGACAGAAATGCCGATAACCGGCATTTCCCTGTTTACATGTGATCAGCTGTGATTGGACACAGCTGATCACATGACCGAGCCAACATCTTCGGCTCTTTCCGTGATCGGTGATCCGCTGTGTCCGAGGGACACAGCGCATCGCTGATAGCCGCGCTGTGCGCTCCCTGAGCCGCACATCCGCAGTGAGACTGGGAGGACGTCATATGACATCCTCCCAGAACGAGAGAACCACCCTGCACCCGTCATATTACTATGTTTTAAAATGCTGATATCATAAGCAAATGGTTTTTTTTTTGGGCTAGTTTCCTGTAGCCTCCCTGACGGTATTCCCGAGTGTAGCTCGGGCTAAAGTTTCAGTACCAAAAGCGGTAACCCCGAGCTACACTCGGGCTTACCATGCGGCGCTGCTCCGGCATCTGTTCTTCACTTTACCTTGTTTTGCGCTCCCGCAATGTCCCTCCTGCAGTGTCCCCGGCAATGTAATCCGACGGATGCCGGCATCTGTCATCTGGGTTCCGTCCCCTGCGAGCGTCGGGACGTACGGGGGATGGAACGGCGGGAAATTTGAAAATGACAAAAAGTGACATTCACTCAATACACTAAAATCACATAGTAAAACATTACTGTATCAAACCATTTCACATACATTTTGTCCCTAGTGTTTTGTCCTGTGCCCTGCCTGCATTTTTACTGTTCTTTCTGCCTGGAAACTGAGAAACGTCCATGGCGTCCAAAAAGCGTCCCTTTAGGTCAAAATCGGTTTTAGGCCAGCTAGAGAACAGTGATAGTAAATTAGAACTACTTGCAGAATTGAGTGATAATGATTTGTGGGGAAATTCGTCATCAGACACTGAAAACGATTTTGCGACTTTGCTCAGTGATGTGCGAACTTGGCGCTATATTTACAATTTCAGTGTTTTTGGTTTGTTTATATTATTGAATTAAATTTATTATTATTATATTATTATTTTTTATAATTATTTATTAAATTATAATTTATGATTTCGTATTTCAAATTTTATCATACCCGAGATGTTTACTAGACTCTTGTTCAGACAGATTTCAGTGAGTTATTCCTAAAAATTACAGGCCTACAATAAAAAAATACACATTTCCATGCAAAAAAATTACCACTTTGAGCACAGAAATATGGACATAATAAGACCGCTAGGGAGGTTAATGTGGGGGCAACGAATTTGAAAAACCTTCTTCTTGGATTCTCACAAAGTATGAAACAGATTTACCTTACTTGTGGTAACATTGCAAATATCTAGCCATATATGGGCAAGCTTCAATTCTTCTCCTTTCTAAAGAAATTAGGAAATGAGATTGTCACAGTGCTGCTACTGCAGATGAGGATTTTAAGCCTGAAATCCTCAATTGTGTTTGACCTCTACTACTGCTGCAGTTTTATGTTATAAACAACATAAGTCTTCAGGGCAAATGGTTGGTGAACACAGGCAAATCTAGTATTTGCAAAATGTTGTGATTCACCTGTGTTAATAAATATGTTCCAGAGACATACATGTTCATAGCATAAGCATGTGTTCACCATAAACATAATTTTTTTTCACAGAACGCTTATAGTTTTTCTGATATGGCAGTACAGCTGTTATGTTACCATTTTATACATGCTAGTTTAGTTTAGTTTTTTGTTTGTTTTTGGCTTTTATTTACATAAAAATATGAAATTGCTATATAGGCCATCCACACTTTACTAAAACTGGAGCAGTCAGAATCTGGCACAGCTGTGCATGGTAACCAATCAGCTTCTAGCTCAGGGGTGGGCAAACTTTTTGACTTGAGGGCCGCAATGGGTTCATATATTGGACCCGGGGGCCGGACCAAGAGTAGATGAATTATGTGTATGTGTCATCCATAGTAAGTATAGTAATATTCCCCCATAGTAAGCATAGTAATTAATCCCTGAAATAGTAATTTATCCCCCATAGTAATTCATCCCCCATTATAGTAATTCATCCCCCATATAGTAATTCATCCCCCATATAGTAATTCATCCCCCATATAGTAATTCATCCCCCCTATAGTAATTCATCCCCCATAGTAATTCATCCCCCCTATAGTAATTCATCCCCCATAGTAATTCATCCCCCATAGTAATTCATCCCCCATAGTAATTCATCCCCCATAGTAATTCATCCCTCATATAGTAATTCATCCCCCATATAGTAATTCATCCCCCATATAGTAATTCATCCCCCATATAGTAATTCATCCCCCCTATAGTAATGCATCCCCCATATAGTAATTCATCCCCCATATAGTAATTCATCCCCCATAGTAATTCATCCCCCATAGTAATTCATCCCCCATATAGTAATTCATCCCCCATAGTAATTCATCCCCCCTATAGTAATTCATCCCCCATAGTAATTCATCCCCCATATAGTAATTCATCCCCCATAGTAATTCATCCCTCATATAGTAATTCATCCCCCATATAGTAATTCATCCCCCCTATAGTAATTCATCCCCCCTATAGTAATTCATCCCCCATAGTAATTCATCCCCCCATATAGTAATTCATCCCCCATATTAATTCATCCCCCATAGTAATTCATCCCCCATATAGTAATTCATCCCCCATAGTAATACATCCCCCATATAGTAATTCATCCCCCATATAGTAATTCATCCCCCATAGTAATTCATCCCCCATATAGTAATTCATCCCCCATATAGTAATTCATCCCCCCTATAGTAATTCATTCCCCATATTAATTCATCCCCCATATTAAGTCCCCAAGTCCCCCCTGTGTCAATTCACTTACCTTTGCTCCGCGCGTTCCTCTTGCCGTGTCCCGCGCCGTTCCGGTGTAGCATGAAAATCTGTCTCCTATGAGGATCTGTCCCCCTCGAGGTATCTGCACAGATTTTCATGCTACACCGGTCTTCAGGGCGGACTGTGAGAGGAGCCTAGCTCCGCGGGCCGGATTAAAAGGTCCGCCGGGCCGTATACGGCCCGCGGGCCGTAGTTTGCCCATTGCTGTTCTAGCTTCAGCTTGTTCAATTAAGTTTTGATAATAAAACCTGGCAGCTGATTGGTTTCTATGCAGAGCTGTACCTGATTTTGAACTCTCCAGTTTTAGTAAATCAATCCCAATAGTTACATAAACCATTGTAAACATAATTGCATTCCATTCTTTAATATGTGAAACAATGTGCTCTGCCAATCAATGATAACTTGATTGTTTTGGAAAATGTAGGAAGTGAGAGATAATGTGGAACCAAAGCTAATTATTTCAGGGGCTGTTTCCACTTTCTCTAGGGACGCTTACGGGTGCCATAAGTGTTGTCCTTGCATCACCGATTTAAATATCTGCATAGCTGAAAGCCTCTATAGATGACATTGACTTTTGATCTTCCCTGTTCACACATACGCATCTGACCTCTGTTTTGTTTAATTTAGTGTTTTTTAAAAGAATATTGTGATCCATTCATTTGTACAGAAGACCCATTTTAGTTAAAAGCAAGTACAATTGCATGTATTGTTCCTTTGTCCTTCCTTTAAAGCCTTTAGCTTGTATGATATTAAACACTAATCCTATTATTATCAAAGCTTCCTGTTTTCACTGGGAATTTTGCCATATTTCCTGTAAGTGTTCATCACACAGGTTTTAGGATTCTTGCAATCTAATAAGACAGGAATTAAAATTTATATGTATAAGCTACTGGAAGGATACACAAGAGATGTCCTTAAGATTCTGTGTATTGCACATACATGGCGTATGTGTTTCTGTTTGTGTTTGGGGTTTTCTGTGACCTTGCTGTCTCTAAAACAGCTGATGAAGCAAAGTTAATTATTTTATATTTTTGACACCCAGGTTATTAAATGGAAAATGTTTGTCTCTCTCGCTGTAGTCACAGTTTAGATAAATGAGCACTTCAGAGTCTGTCATGTTCCAAGAAATATTCAAAATTTCAGCTGCGGAGACTCGCGTTAATTATCTTTCCCCATAAGATTTGTTTTTCCCTGCATCCCTTGTTATTCACTGTCGGGAAAATGTCAATATAATCTATTGCTGGTTGGTGTACCAGAACCAGTGGGATTTAACTCTACTGATCAAATACATTTTATAAAGGGATCCTGCATTTAAAAAATGTTGTAACATAATTTCATGTTGTCAGTCAAATGGAAATTCTCTCATTTAATGACAATAGATTAAAGTGTTACTAAAGTCCATTTTTTTAAATTAAAATAAAAAACATGTTTATACTTACCTCCTCTGTGCAATGGTATTGCATAGAGTGGACCCAGTCCTCCTCTTCTCAGGTCCCCCACTGGAGATCTTGGCTCCTCTTCTTCATGTGTCCCCATAGCATGCCGTTTGTTATGGAGGCACACAGTGTCCATTCGCTCCCGAGCTGTGTGTCTATGGAGCCACGCTCCATAAACTTACACAGTGGGACTTAGCCCCACCCCTCACTTCCTCACTGCATTTGATTGACAGGAGCAGGAGCTAATGGCTCCTGCTTCTGTTCAAGTCCCTGTCTGATGAGGAAGCGAGAAAGAAGAGATGCAGCCATCCATAGCGATGGATCTCTTCTCCCCTGTCACACAGGGAAGGGGGAGGACAGACAAATATAAAATGTTTTTATACCTTATAGGAGAAGTACAGCCAAAGCTGGTTTGGCTGTACTTTATCTGTGGATCACAGGAGTGCAGTTCATTCTGCATTCCTGTGACCCATTTTCAGCCAACAGTGGACTGAAGACCGCTGTCAGCTGACGTCACTCAGCCAGTCCAGGCTTGGGAAAGATCCTGACTTCAAAGTCGGGATGCACCCCAGAGTCTGGTGCGGCACCTGGCTCAGCCCCTCACTGAGCTGCTGGGAGCCTGAGCCAGCTGCTCCCCTCCCCCTCCACAGCCCAGCACTCCAGTGAGCGCTGGGGGGGGGGGGGGGGGCAGAGCAGACAACGGTGACTGACAGTCATGTCTCTTCTCAGAGCAGCTGTGAGAACTCAGTGATCAGTGGTCATGTGATTGCTGTGTTCTCATGGACCACTGCTGCATCCACCTAGGTAAGTATAAATTGGGGGGAGTACACGCTTCTCTTTTAATTCAAGGAATACATTAAGGTAAAAAAACATTTTTCAGGTTTAATGTCACTTTAAATTTTATATTACTAAACCTGTCACAAACCTGTGCAAGTCAAGCCTATGGCTTTAGTGCCTCTTGGATCTCCAACCCCAAACAAGTGTGTATCCTGAGTTCTGACCTGCACCTTTGTCTGGGATCAGTAACTCACTACATAATTAACACGACAGCCATCAATTAAAAAATAAAAATCAGCAAGTACATTATGCTACAACACACCTAGTAAACTAAATGCCCCTTAGCCCAGAATGAGCACTTTTTGGCCTGATAGACATTCCGGGAGTTACATATCCAGAGGCTGCAAACAACTGTTCACTATTCTATCTATATTGGCATGGAAAGCCATCCTACACAAATGGATTATTCCCCAATATTTCCAATATCTCATTGTTTGGAGATAAACTGTCTGTTGTGTACCTCATGGAATGGCTGGAGAGCTCCTTACATAAAGAAACAGAGGTCCATTCATTTTTTTGATGTCTGGGAAACTTTCATTAAAACCTTGCCTACTGATATCCAACATTCCATA